TGCAGATGTTTATACGCGCCATCAAATGAACTTCTTTGAGTTCATGCGGAACCCAAATATCAAGCTTGCTTATGTATTCCAGCTTCTTCAGTTGGTCGGGAATGCTTGAATGATGGATGTTAAATGTTTCTGCAATCTCTCGTGTCGTGTAATGTGGGTTTGACTCAATCAATGCCTTTATTTTGTCGTCATCAAACTTGGTGGGCCTCCCTGACTGAGGAGTGTTGTTGAGATAAAAATCACCAGCACGAAATTTCGTGAACCATCATTGGCACTGACGTTCTTGTAGAGCATTGTCATTTGTCACCGTCTTTGTCAAACTTTGTGCAACTTTTCACAAGCTTGATGCGCGTTCTTCCCTTTATGGAAGTAACACAGTAAAATATGGCAAAAATGCACAGTTTGGTCTTCCATCTTCAACTTGTTGTAAAATCTCCAAAACTCAACCAAATCGCTCAATGTTTTTTTAGACTGGAGCTAGAACTGTCAGCTGTCAAATGACATAGGAATAACATAGATGCAAATGACTCTAGTACTTCCAAAAATGAACTAGTGCCATCTGCTGCAAACATGCGTCATGACTTTTCTGACAACCCAATAATTGTGTGCACACTGAAGTTTGAGAAACTCTGCCCTTTACTGTTCTCTAACAGCCCAGGCATTCACTGAATAGAGGAGCAGGCCCTTAGGATGCATACCCCTCACTGCTTTCCCTACACACCAGTGGGTGCCTGTGGTCTCCAGGGATGCTGCTCGCACTCCCTAGTGACTTCATTGTCTTCTTCATCTGCTTGAATTACGTGTGGATGGGGACTAGGGGTGGAAAGTGGAGGGGGCTGATTTTATCCTGTGCTAGAATGAGTGTGCTGGCAGAGAGACCAGAGTAGGGTGGGAGGGAGAGGCGCTATGGAGCCAGCTGGAAAGGCAGGCCAGGGGAATGGGCCTCCCCACTTCCTTAGAGGGGCTCAGGGATGGGGTGTGGGAGGGCCTGTGGGGAGGTGCCCTCTAATGCTTTGGTTTCTCCTTTCTTCCAGCCTCATCTTCATGGTGCCAGTGGCATGTGGGCTCTTTCCACAGAAATGGTATCAGCTATTCATCCTCACTTGGTTTTACCAAATGTCTGGGCCCTGCTCTCCCTGACCTGCTTGCTGTCCCGAAGGAGAGAGGGAGGGGCAGGACAGGCAGCATTTGTCCAAGGACAAGTGCCTATCAGCCTAACCTCTGGGTCTCTTAACTCCGAATGAATGGTAAACACGTCTCTAAGGGGCAGAGGGATGAATTGCTCCTTCCCAGTGGAGCAAGGACTGCCTTGGAGAGAAGGTAGGGAAAACAACAAGAGACTTTCTGTCCCTGCTGGTTAGGTTATTAGATGCATCTCCCCTGGCTGGATCTGGTCTTTGGAATTGAACAAGGGGACAGGTACTTATTCTGGCTCCTGTTTGCCAGAGGGTGGATGACTCAGACCTCTCCACTTCCCTTGTGTGTCATGGAAGGGGAGATAAGGTGAGAAGGGATGAAGGTAAAGGGAAGGGAAGCATCAGACGGGTTGGGGGAAGGACTAGCTCCAGGAGACCAGGTGTAGCTTGAATACATACCGACAAGATGCCAGTCTTCCCTTCCGTAGTACTCTTAGCTCAGTAGTATCTGCTAGACATCTCCTATGTTCTGAGCACTGTCCTAGTAATTTTGTGGAGAGAAGATGGAAGTTTAGCACAGGGAGAATGAAGTCACGCCCAGGTAGAGGTAAAAGCAACATATTGTGGTATACGGACGCCATTACTAATTCTGAAAAATTGGGAAGGGTTTCTCAGAGGTGGCGTTTGAGTTGGACTTTATCTGAGGGTAATCTGCTGCTACCCAGGCGGCAAGCTCATAACTCCACCCCTCCTTTCTCTCTTCTCAGTGAAATGCCAGTTTCCTATCTGGAACCAAAGCTCAAAGACACCATCAAGGCCAAGTATGGAGAACTTGTGCCTTACGTCTACTTCAATAAGGGCCTCTAAATGCCCCAACCCACCAAGAAATATACCTATGTTCACCAGCTCCTCAGCCGCTATGTAAACCTGTGCCACTGTGTAGACCTGTGCCCTCATTCTTCTTTGCCAACAGGCCAGTGTGGATTTGGGGGGGCGGGGATGGTGTGAGGATGACTCATGCTTCTACCCAGGCACTTAGTTTATTGGGCTCCAGGGGATAAAAGTGAACAAGGGGAGAAAGACCAAATCTTCTATCTGCTCCTCCCTTAACTCCCATCCCCTGGAGACCAGGAGCTGAGTTCCCCTCAGGGAGAAGTTGCTGGGACCTGAGGGAGACACTCAAGCAAGCCAATTGGAAAAATTAGGAAACCTTTGGGATTCTGGTTCCAGCCAGGATTGGAGAAGAGCCCCTGGGACAAAGAGAAGCTTCCACAACTCTTACCTCTCCCCTTCCTTGTCCTCTTTCCTCAAGCTATGGAACCTCTAACCATGTAATTCCAGCCACCTCAGGAACTGGGAGGTGCTAGTCTGTGTTACCCTGGGTCTCGTCTCCACTCTTCCCATTTTCCTCCCCATTGTCCCAGTCAGAAAGGTTCTGTGGGAGTGCTGCCAACCTTGACTTTATCAGGCACCCTGGAGTTCTTAGTGCTAAAAAAGGTCATTATGTGAGGCAGCAGAGTTCCATGGTGCATCAAGCCCTGTCTGTTGTCACTGACTTTGTTCTCCTGCTCTAAAATCATGTCTGATTTTACTTCTCTGTGTTTAAAAGATCATTCCACTGTGAGTAAAAAGGATGTAGGTAAGCATTAGCCGCACATTTTAATGGGTATAATTTCCTGGCTGCCTCCCTTCCTCAGCCCATTGGGTTAAACACCAAAGAAAGACTGGTGTGTACTGACTAGGAAAGGGAAGTTTTATTTGGACGCCTCTAAGAGGAAATCAACCAGGACCAAAGAGCCTTAAAGGACACACAACCAAGCATAGCCACTTGCCCTTCCCAACTTGGCTGCTGTCAGTGATTTCTCAAGCTCCCTGGGGAACTGTTGTGGCTTACCTGAGGGTCAATATCTGTATGAGTTTTGTCTAGTAGAATTTACTGACTGTTTAAAGGCTATCACTGTGAATTGAATAAATTTCTTGAAAGAGCACAATGAACTGTCTGCAGCCTGAGTTAATAATGCCTGGATGAAAAGCAGGTTCTGGTCTTACTTTGGTCTTGGCATGGAGTGTATCGCGAGTCTAAGGGGAACCTGCCTGTCTAAAGCCCAGAGGCCATTGTTTATTTCCCTTATTATAGAGGAAAAATCCACCTATCTGCTGGAAGATCCAGAGGGCTCCCAGAATGGTAGCTGTGTTGCCTCAGAGCAAGAGTTGGCAAACCATGGCTCAAGGGCCCAAATCTACCTGCTACCTGGTTTTTTAAAAAGATTTTATTGGGGAATTGGGGGAGGGGAACAGACAATTTGCTGTCCTTTTGTTCTTCAGTCTAGTGGAGGACATTGTTTTACTGGCCCATGTTGGTATTATCATTGTGCTCTTCCCAGGTGAGGCAGATTGGTCACCAGACCCTGCACGGCTGCTCACGGCGGCTCATGGTAGCTCATTAAAGCTTATGCCCACTGCCGGCCAGCCCCACTGCAGCCTATGCCGTCGCCGGCGACTCACGATAGCCCAACTCCAGGTGGAGCCAAGCCAACTCTTAACCAATGCACCACTCGGCCGGCCCCCTGCTACCTGTTTTTAAGAATGGAATGGTTTGTACATTTTTAAAGGGTTGGGTTTTAAACTGCTGCGTCAAGTCTTCGTTTGGTCTGAAGTTTTAGGTTTTTTAACCAGGATGTAAATTGCTTCGGCCTGTAGTAGAATTTTCTATTGAGTTCGGCTTTGTCTGTTGGGCTGGTGGAAGGTGCAGTTAAGATGGTTATTACAATCTTTGCATATGTTATGTAGGTTTAAGTTGGAGCCAGGAGTGGATCCCATACAGATGCAAAACCCAAGACAAAAGCACTGGGCTGAAGTAAATAGAAACAGTGAAATTGGTATGCATAGTAAATGTATAGCAAGCAGAATAATTAACATTTGGTGGAAAGGAAGGGAAGAAAGAAAGCTTTCAGAGTCACAAGCTAAATTACACTTGTTAAATCAAATTACACCAGAGATCCAAATTTCAAAATAGAAGATTTAGTGCCGCCATTACAATCCCATCTTAACAATAATGTGTGGGTTTTTTTTTTTTTGTGGTAGAGCACCTTTGCATGGGCGTGTGAAAAGAATTTGAGGGCAGAATTGGTAACTGGCAGGGCAGCAAGGAGACTATCTGTATTAATCCACATGAGACTGTGGATTGAAGCAATGGGGGTGATTTCAGAGCTATTTCTTAGGTAGAGTCAGTAGAATTGTGTCCCTCAAACTTGGGGTTACAAAACACTGTGCCTCAGGTAAAGGTACTATTTCTTTGGGAATTCAAATTGACCTAAGTTACTGCTAGGGCAATTTGAGACCAGGAGAGGGACCCTGATATGGAGGCTGTGTTTCAAGACAAAAGACATCAAAAGATTTTTAGATTGCAGTTGTTTTCTTCTTTAGGAACGCCCAGTTACCTTCTTTAAAAAAAAAACACACACAAAAAAACTTATGTGCCAACACCCTCTAGAATCAGCATACCCTTTCTCTTTTTGCTAAACAGTGGAAACAGCACTTCCGCCACACTCAAGATGGCTGTACCAGAATCAGGCTTCAATGCTATTCGTTTTAGGTGGCCCCGCCCCCAACCAGAGCTACTTCCGCCACTCTCTGAGGAGTGGGACGCATTTACGCCGCCTTGCAGCTCTCAAGATGGCCCGGTTTCCTCCTACTTCTCATTGGCAGGATCCCTTTGGTTTTCCGTCGTCATGTGGGGACGGAACTTCTATTTGATCGGCAGCTATTTTGATCAATGGACGAAGGGCAAGGGCCAATGAAGCGCTGGAACTGGAGAATCTCCCCAGTGTCTGGGAGGGTGTTTAGGTTGGGGCGGGGTGGAGCAGAACCGGAAGCGGGAGGGGAGAGTGAAACAGGAAAAGAAGGGAAGAAGGAAGAAGAGGGAAGAGGAGGAGAGGGAGGAGGAGGGAGGTGGCGGCGCCGTGGCGGAGGAGCAGGAGCAGGAGGGGGATGGAGAGGAGAAGGCTCCTGGGTGGCATGGCGCTCCTGCTCCTCCAGGCGCTGCCCAGCCCCCTGTCAGCCAGGGCTGAACCCCCGCAGGTAAGGGGGAGGGGGCGTCCGGGCCAGCCTGGGGGTCGTCGAGGCCTGGCTGGAGAGGGCTGAAGGAGTGTTGTTGCCGAGAGTTGGGGGGTCCCGAGAGGGACACTAATGTGTGGAGTGGACAGGATCTAAGGGGGTGTCAGTGTTTAGCTGAGGGACACCTGTTTTGGTGTCAGGGAAGGTGGCAGGAGCACGGTGCCAGGTGAGTGAGGAACCTTTGAGAGGGCAGTTAGGTCAGGTGGGCTGGAATGACTGTGACTGGATAGTGCTGCCAAGCTGGGGTATGTGGGGTTCATTCGTCTCCTCCGGTGGAGCAAGTCTCCAAAGCAGCGATGCCGCGTGTACGTCTGTGCGGGTCGCGGGGTACTGTTGAACTGGCCTGAGAGGAAGGAGCAGCTGAGAGTATATTTATTTCAAGCTGGACAGGGAAAGTTCTGAGGACACCATTTTTAATGGTGTTGGAGTTCAGTGGTCGGAGACAAGACTCTTGAAAGGCCGATGGGATGAAGTACACCGGGACCCCTCAGGAGGAGGGCACACTTAAGCTCTAGTAAGCTCTTACTGCTAGGCTGGCTGGCCTTGGGAGAGCCAGTCACGGATGCTGATCTGGGCCAGCTCAAGGCTTTTGAGCAAAGGGTGGTGCTGATGCCAATACGGGTAACAAATGGAGCACCCCGGCTTTTCTTGCTGGGTGGCTTGCTTTTTATCCAGGCGGAGAAGCTAGCTTGTGCTGATTTCAGCTCTTGTTGGCATTTCGAAACCCTAATAGGAGCATTACTCCTGGTGCCAAGTTGGGTGGGGTGCAGTAGGGGGAATCACCCCTCCTTCCCTTGCATTTGGCAAGGTTTTACCATTCTATTTTCTTCACTTTCTGTTCCCTTCCCTGTCTTTTCAGAAACACACACACACACACACACACACACACACACACACACACACACACACACACACGGCAAGATGGCAGTCTTACAGCTTAGCGTTTGAACTTTGTGTTGTGATCAAGAGTAGCAGCAGCAGAGTGCCAGCAAAAATTCTTACCTTTTCCCTAGGAGTTTACAGGGCTGTCTTTTCACAGAATGTATGTATGTTTGCTTTGCTCATTAGTATCTTCTATTTTAAAAATTAATTTTTTAAATGACGTGAAATTCACATAACAAACTATTTAAAACCATTTAACCATTTTAAAGTGAACAACTCAGTGGTGTTTAGTACATTCACATGGTTGTGCAACCATCACCTCTATCTAGTTCCAAAACGTTTTCACCACTCCAAAAGGAAACCCCTTACCCAATAAGCAATTCCTCCCTGTTTCCCCCTTCCCTAGCCCCTGGCAACCACCAGTCTGCTTTCTGTGTCTGTGGATTTACCTATTTGGGATATTTCATGTAAATACAATTTTAAAATGTGTGACCTTTTTGTGCCTGGCTTCTTTGACTCAGCATAATGTTTTTGAGGTTCATCCATGTTGTAGCATGCACCAATACTTTATTTTTATGGGTGAATAATATTCCGTTGTATGGCCATACCACAATTTGTTGAAGTATCCTCTGTTTTTCCCCCCCTACAGTATATTTATGTATATTAGAAATAACATGTGAAAGGAATAGAGCTCATTTTCTGGCCCAGTGTATTCCCTTTTCTACAATAGGTCTAGACTCTTCCGTTTTAGGCTTTGTTGGGATTCTTTATTTTCTCCAGTTAAAATCATAAACTGGCAGGGGAAATAAATTTTTTTTGTTAGAAAAGTTATAACCCGTTGGACTGGTAAAGTTCAGAAGTATAGATGCTGACAGAACAAAATATCGAACAAACTCCCTTTTCTTTTGCACCTGTTTCTGTAAGTATCTCTAAAGGCTGTTTCCAATAACCAATAAATAACACTGCTGGAGGGTTGATTTAGGAAGCTTGGAGCCTTTGGAGGTGGGTGCCCTGGCCCTGTGGACTGCTTCACTCAGATGGAGAGCAGTGGTGGGCCTCTTAAGTCAGCAGTGGGAAACAGGTCCATTTCTTTAACAAGAGGAAGGATGGCAAGTGGAGGTTGCTGACCAGGTCATGTAAGCCTGCGAGGGGGCAAGAAGCTGTGGGAGGGGATCTTGAATGTCATGCTCTACTTGCAGTTTGTTGATCACAGGCCCGTTTTCTTATCATTTCTCTGGCACTTCCAATACTTATTTTGGGGACAGGGTGGCTTTTGTACTTTGTTCCATTTGGATGGATGCTAGCACTGACCAGCAGCTATTATGTGGTTACAGTTCTCGTAGAGAAGGGAAGGGTTTTTTTTTGTTCTGTTTTTTAAGATTTTATTGGGGAATGGGGGAGGGGAACAGCACTGGGGAATCGGGGGAAGGAGAACAGACAAGTTGCTGTTGTTTTGTTTTTCAGTCTAGTTGTGGAGGATGTTGCTTTTACTGGCCTAGGTTGGCACCATCATTGCGCTCTTCCCGGGTGAGGCAGACCAGTCGCTGGCCTCTGGATGGCCGCTCATGGAGGCTGCTGGCCGCTCACGCTGGTTGCTGGCTACACATGGTAGCTTATGGCAGCCCACTGCAGCAGGGAGCTGCAGCCTACGCCTCGCTGGTGACCCATGGCAGCCCAGCCCCAGGTCGAGCTGCCGTTCACCATCTTAGCTGCAGAGGGCAGTGTCACTGGCCCTCATATGTGGGATCCGAACCGGGGCCTTCTGGCGTCCCAAGCCAGTTCTTAACCAGCCCGCCACTCGGCCGGCCCTCCCTCTTCTTGACCCTTCCTCTCCATACATTCCACCTCCACCTCATACTCCTATCTCTCTTTTGGAGAGTACTAATCTATAGTCAGATTTTTGTTTTGAATTTTAACCTTTGGAATGGAAGTTATTATATAATTATTAACCGAATCCACCATAATTTAGTCAGTATGGTTTTTGTTGATTTTTGGCTTGTAGAAATCAGTAAAGAAGAACAAATTCACAGACCATTTTGGCATAGGACATACTTCAGGTACTTACTGTCCTTATTTCAACAAGTGGCTTTCAGCTAAGTCTGAATTGAGGAGGACTCTTGTACTTATTCTGTATTAAAATGATATGGGTACCTCATTGCGTTTTCCCCCTTGAAATGACTCTACCAAATACAACCTTTTTTTAACATATGTATTTAATATCAGAAATACATATTAGGTGGCTTGCTTTCCCTTTTACCACCTCTGCAGTGGAACAGCCATTTCTTGTCATCCTGGCCCAGGAAAGTTCATTAGCTTAGCTCACTTCTGTGATTCGGAATTTAGACTTAACTCTCCTACACCTCACTGCACCTCGTGATTCCTTGAATCCATAAAGAATAAAAAGGCAGTAGAATCTCCAAACAGTAATAAGGCCTTGGCATTTATCTCTTCCCATTAAATTATGATTGAGATACATTGAGTTTCTTTGTGTCTATGGTTGGTTAGATTCGACCAGAAAAATCTGACTACATTATTTAAAATAAAATCTTAGTAGAAAAGTCTTTTTCCATAAAGTGACCCAGCCAGTGGCCTGAGCACAAATCTCCTGAAACTCAGTCCTTACCTTCCCTCTGCCATGCTTAATTAAAACTTGGAGTTGGATGGGGGCGCCAGTTCCTGTTATTTTTTTTTCCACCACACCTCTCGATAGTATACCTCTTGTCCCCCCCCCACCTTTACTCACCCCTACTGCCCCAGTTTTTAGTCCAGAAGCCCTATTCCACTCTTCTTTCTTAAAAATGGCATTTCAGTGTGATTGCCATCACTCCTTATAGAATAGTGGGATAGGAGACTTCCAGATTCTAGTCCCCTTTCCCTCATTTTCTTTTTTTTTTTTAAAGATTTTTATTGGGTAATTGGGGGGATGGGAACAGTGATGGGGAATTGCGGGAAGGGGAACAGACAAGTTGCTGTCGTTTTGTTCTTCAATCTAGTTGTGGAGGACGCTGCTTCACTGGCCCAAGTTGGCACCATCATTGTGCTCTTCCCTGGCGAGGCAGATCAGTCGCCGGCTTCTGGACGGCCGCTCACTGCGGCTGCTGGCCGCTCACGCTGGCTGCTGGCCGCTCACGCTGGCTGCTGGCTACATACGATAGCCCATGGCAACCCACTGCCACAGGGACTGCAGCCTACGCCGTCGCCAGCGACTCACGGCAGCCCAGCTCCAGGTTGAGCTGTTGTTCAGCATTTTAGCTGTGGAGGGCAGTGTCACTGGCCCTCATATGTGGGATCCGAACCGGGGCCCTCTGGCATCCCAAGCGAGTTCTTAACCATCGCGCCACTCGGCCGGCCCTCCCTCATTTTCTTAGTCTGTTTTACACACTAAAGTGAGCAATTATCGAAAATCAGTGCCTTGAGCTTCTGTAAATCCTTTCTGTAGAATTCAGAAATTATTTGCTGAAATGTCCACTCTTTGCAGCAGGCTGTTGTCATTGCTAGGCATTGGGAACCCTCAAATGAGTAACAGAATCCCTATCCTCAAGGAGCTGGTAGTCTTGTGGGGAAGGCAGACAACACGTAAGGATTTGTAATCCAGAGGGCTCAATTCTGTAATGGAAGTGCAAACAAAGGCCAGTGGGAACAACTGATAGGACCAGGGCAAGGTGAGGATTTAGGGCAAGTTTCATGGAGCAAGAGGCATTTGGACAGGCTTTAAAGGTTGATAAGGATAAGTAGGATATCTGTGGACCAGGAAAGGGGAAAGTCCATTCCAGTATGAAAGAGTGAAAATGGAGCAAGCGTGTGGAGGTGGCACGTAGTCTGGCGGAAGCTTCATGTTTGGGTGTGTAGAGGAGTGAAAGAAGGTAAGGCTTGAAAGGTGGACTGTGGTTAGATGGTAAGGAGGCCTTTTTACCATTCATTGAAGCAGTACTGTCTAGTAGAACTTCCTGTGAGGTTGGAAATGATGTATATCTGCACTGTTCACATGTGGCTAGTGAGCACTTGAAATGCAGCTAGGATAACTGAGGAACTGAATTTTTAATGACATTTAATTTTTTATATCAACTTTCTTGGGATATACT